GTTGCAAATAATAAGATGTTGAAATGGGATCATTTTATCAGATCAGGTATTTTACATGTAAAAGACATTACTTATGAGGTTATACCTGGTTTTCTACCTGTTTCTTGTATTATAGAAATAATTCAAGAAGATAATCCTGATATAGATGTTAATATTTTCAAAGAAAATTATATTAGTTTGAAATCAGTTATTCCAAATGAATGGAGAAAATATGTTTGTGAAACTGAATATACGAGAAATAATTTTATACCTAATTTTTGTATCAAATTCAAAGATCAAAGTATTGTATTTAATTCCTATACTGTACGAATATTTTATAGATTACTAACAGCAAAGCTTTTTTTACATCCTGTTTCAGACGAATTTTGGTGCAATAAATTTCAATCGATTGATCAAAATGCCTTAAAACAAAGATGGTTAGTTTTATGGGAACCATTTAAACCGCCAGACATTATTGAAATAGACTTTAAAGTCTTTCATAATATAATTTTTACGAATGAAAAATTATTTAAAATTGGGAAGATTGATTCTAAAGTTTGCGCTCTTTGTGATTCAGGGACTGAAGACATATTCCACTTATTTTTAGAATGTAAGCAACTCCAAGATTTTAAGAACAATTTTGTAATTTATCATCTCGAAACATATTTGAAAGACTGTGAAAATAGTGTATACAATACCTTGAGTTTTGAAAATATTTTTCTAAATGGTTTTACAAAGAAAATCAAGCATGTTAATTTTTTCTTTCTGAATTTTTTCCTTTCAATGTGTAGAATTTCAATTTACAAAAGAAGACAAATATATATACAAAGTGGAAAACTTATTGATGTTACAAGGTTGTGCAAATATATGTTGAGACATTATATTTCATCCTATTTTTATCATTTGTGCATTAATGAAAACAGAAAAGAAATATTTTATAAAAAGTTTTTGAACAGAAATCATATTGTGAAAGAAACTTTTATTTATTTTTTAAACAAACATATGTGATTATTCCTTTTTAACACTGTTGTAACCTGAATTATAATTGTTATACATGTATGTGAATGAAGTTGAATATAAAAAAAAAAAAAAGAGAGCACCTGACTAGTAATGCAGGGGTCCCGGGTTCGATTCCCGGTCAAGTCATATGTTTTTCATTATATATATATTTATGAATTTTCAATATATATTAACTAATTCCTCCTTTCCATACTACAGTGGTCTCTGTAATTCCTCTTATTCTTATTTTTCGGTGGCATATCCACTCGTTATAGTAAATAATAAACATTAAATTACTAACTTTAAATTAACAAAAGACAAACTTTTTTTGATTAATTTGTTACAATATGGCTGGTGCGTCACTTTAAACTCGAGCTTTAAATCCAACACAATCCAGAGAAAATATATACGTTGGATTAAAATAATGTTAAGAACATACAACTTTATTATCCATTAATAAGATTTTAAATATAATTAAGAACGATGCAAAAAATTCTTACAAATACTATGAAAAAACTTGTCATAGAAATATCTAATCTACTCTGTCTCCAGCAAGTTATTGAAAAGAATGTTGATCCCGAGCTTCCCGACTTATATAATACCCAGGGACGCAGGCCGATCCCGACCAAAATAAATACATTTTCCCCGTAAAATAAAGTCCTCGATTTTATATGCATAAAATAGATGATATTATTTGTCAAGTAGGTCTGAAAGCCTTATGAATGACCTCGCCTTAGGGTCAAATAGGACGCATCATTTTTCCAAAGATTTCATTTTGGAAAGAAGATACAAATTTAGAATCCTCAAGCTAAACATATTTGATTTGCAGAGTCAACTGAAAAGAAGTATCTTTTTGAAAATCTATTCTAAAAATTTTCAGCTTATACATGTATGAGGGTTGCCCCAAAATTCCGTTGATTGATCTAATATCTTTTGCAAGAAATTAATATATCTTTATACAGTGTACTATTTTTTTTTTTTGGTGTGTGTAGTGTATTGATACACTGTAGTTGATAAATTACGAAATTTTAACGTGTATATTTATTTTACATACCCTTGAGTGGTACGAAAGTTATCGTTACCGTATCTTACCACTCTGTACAACCAATGATAGGTAAACGTTATTAATACATTTTTTTTTAAAATATAAACTAAATTCCATGTTCAACATTCACATTTCTTAAATTATCATAAAGATTTTAGGTATAAATATAAAATGTTTTAATTGTTCTGATGTGATAAAACATTAAAATATATAAACAGGTATTCATTTATACTAAATCATAGAAGTCTTCTATATTTTTGTATGTTTTTTCCTGTATTCATACACACTTTGACAAAGCTTTTTTTTTGTTCATTACTCTCGGCTAGTCCATTTCGTAGCTTCGCTTTTTTCATTTACCTCGGAAATTGTCTAATATAATTTACACGTAAACATCTAGGACTTGAATACTTTTCTATGTGAAATTCGTGATTTGTCTCGGTTTGAATGGATTCAAGTTCCAGATAAATTATATCACATTCCAGTGTTCCGCCTGAATTAACATTGTCGCATATTTGTAACTTTGCAGGTGTCAAATCAGTGAATATAAAATATCAATATATTCTTTTAATTTAGGTATATCACAAAAAAGATGTAATAAAGCTGGGTAACTATATTTCTTTTGTAAAGATCTAATTTTGAATCCCTAAAATTTTTATTGTTATTTAGATTTCATATTTCATAGTATTAAGGACTGTTCCGCCTCTTACACCATGTATGGAATTGTGTCATTTAACTATTATATATCTATTAATTACTCAGTATTTTACAATACGAGGGGGTTATCAAAAGTTCGTGGACTAATGCGATAAAATTAATGTTATGTAGTCTGTGCTTACAAAATAAGGAACATAAAACAACAAAACTTTAAGAAATGTGATACATTGATAATTTACCAAATTATTCTGAAATAAAAAAAAAGACACTATATGATCACCCAGTGCTGTCGCTGTTTAGTTTCATGACGTCCGACAACATAATTGTTTCCCAATGTCCGCTCTGTCTACCTTATACACTTATCTTGATGAGATTACCTGGAGTTAAGTAAGGACTTACGCCCGTCTTGATAATATGACTTTACAATATAAGAAACATCTGCTTTCAATGCATATACCTTCGTAAATGGATCTATACATAAGGAAAGATCCTCACTCGATTATGCCAGAATACTTAGCTTGTTGCAGTTCATTTGCTACCACACATGATCAACGTCACTTTTCGACGTGACTGACTTTTGACACCCTGACTACAAATCGACATTAACTGTGCATCTTTCATCTCTTTGAATCTTTTTGGATATTTAAAACAAGTACTCTAGATGCATTTTATTTTTCTGTAGCCCGTTTAAACATTCCCTAGGTCTATACCAGTTTTTTCCTGGGGCGAAACTTTATAGAATGTTGTAAAAAGAAAACCATCCCCTTTTTGACGTCATTTTCAAGCCCTTAATTGTTTGAACACTCCATATAAAATTTACGATAAAATTTCATAGAACTTACAAAATGGGGTAAAAATTGCAAATTTTACGGAACAGTTGTGTCGTACCACATGTCTGAATTAACTCGATTTTTTGATGACAATGCTCATATCAAAAGAATTTTTCTCAATTTCACTCAGGTATAGAAAACGTCTTATTTGAGGTTGCGCCGCCTGGATATACAATTGCTTACAAAAACATTAAAGATTTATTAAAAAAATAAAAGTTATGATTTATGGTTTATTCTATTGATAGAAAAGATTATGCAAACTAAATATGTAAAAATTCATTGATGTACTTAAAGCGGTTTTAATTTTATGGGGCTAATCCACGAACTTTTTGATATCCCGGCGTAGATTTAGTAGCTTTTGTTGAATATATTTATTTCATCAGTTTCATTTATATTAGACTCTGAATTACTATAAAACAGCATTTGTCTACGTAATTTTTGGACAACCCTAATTTGCATAGTTAATTGGTAAACAATTTAAGAAAAAAAAATCTTTTCAATAGTATGCCAAAAAGGTTTAATAAAAAATATTTTATATGCAATTTGATTTTAAGGTGAATTGTTAATTTCCATTTATCGTGACAACAATTTTGTTACGTAATGCATATCAAGTGTTAAATGTTACAAGACATAACCCACTATTATTCTTGTCTTTAAATTGAGAAAAAAAATATTAATTTCCACATGCTGTGCTGCAGAGGAGATCAGGCTCCGGAGCCATAAAACTGAGACGAGCTAACTTTTGATCTTAGTCTCACTTTTACAAAAGGAATATATTATGGAAAAGTGAGACTGAGATCAAAAGTGAGCTCCTCTCAGTTTTATGGTCCCGGAGCCAGCACTCTATTGAGAAAAGAGAAAAACCGTTTACTTTTACCACTTTTTTTCTTATAACTGGATGAAATTTAAAAAACAGATTTACAAATAATTACTTGTAGTTTATAAGTATAACTACGAATATGTACAACTGTACATGAACCTGTATTCAATAGTAAGTAGGAAAAAAAGATACGTTTTATTTTTCGTGGTTTTTTTTTTTACTTCTTTGTGACTATTATTCACGTATAAGAATGTGTATATTTATATGTTTTCTACATTTTTTCTTCTTTTATCAAATATTACATTTGATTTTAAATCAAGAAAGGAATTTGCTTTGGCGATTTTTTTTATTTTTCATGACAATCTTAATTAATATTATTAGGGTCTTCTTTTATCAATATTGATGGAATAAGGAAAGGAGTGAGTACACATTCAAAGTAATTCAGAAGAAAACAAGGGCGTTAGCTATAGTGGAAACACGTACGGAAGGAAAACAAATACACACTGTTTGTGTTTTGTAATTTAGATATTTTAATAATTTTAAAATATTGTATAATTTTAAAAATAACTTTGACATTGTCTGTAAGTGATAATTATACTTTCCCAAAGATTCTGACATGGTGAATAAATTCATTGTTTTTGAAATGGATAAAGAAATAAATAATCAAACAAAATGACAAAGAAAACAACATATTTAATACACTATATACATCTATCTGGTAAAACAAATGAATAAATGCTATTTACATAATGTTTGCATAGGAATTCACTCATTACTAGATATTCTTCATAAATTTTCTAGAATATGCATTATTGCAAGCATTTTATATAGCTCCAAAGGTTACTTCTCTTACAAAAAAAGTCAAACAAATTGTTTTAATTAGCAATTCACTCAATATTAGATATTCTTCATAGAAGTAAGAGAATATGCATTATTGCAAGCATAATCACGCACACGTATATGTAAAAATTTTCACAGTCATTTTACAAGATAGTTCCAAAGGTTAAATCCTGTTCTCTTCCTGTTCCTGTGTGCTCCGGTTCTAGTAATTTTTGAACACATGATGTTTATTTACCTAAATATAAAAGATTTTTTTTTAAAATTACGATAAAATTACTACATGTATCATATTTGCATTTCTATTGGGTAAATATAAAGACTTTATATTGAAAGATAGAATTTATGCCAGTAGTATCCAAGTTTTTATTACTGGAAAACCGTTTCAACTTATACCATGATTGATAACCATGTTGATGTGTATTTTTAAAACAACTAAAACATTCTGTAGAGGAAAAACTTTAAGTAATGTAACATTTGCTCGCTTACATCTACACCTACCTGTAGTGGTCGTACAACTCCCAGATGTGAAAGAGGATGATGGTGGGAATCCTCAACTTCTCTTAATGCAATAAAAGCCTAAAACAGAATGCACCTTCTAGTATTAATGGTTTCAATTGTAATAATGATGATGATTTAAGCAAATCAATCTATGAACGATAAACTTTTTATTACCCTATTTTGTACAGAATAATGATCTTTACTTAATTAGAAAATCATTATCAATTGTTTATGCTTCTTTTTATAACGTAAAGAATCCTGTGTGTTTAAAAGTACTCACCTCACGTGTCACTTTAATTGGACATTTGTAAACTATCCACTGTACCGTTTCATAACAAGGGGGAGTGGTTAAAGAGCCTTGATACGTATAAAATCGACGGTCGTATGGAAGAACATCTAGAGGTGATATTCCACATACTGGGATTTTTTCATGTGTATCATTACTGTTCTTTATACAGTTAGATTTTATGAAGTCTTGCTCAAGTTTCTGTGGATTGCACGGCGGTTCTAAAAAAATGTATTTCGTTCAGTTCAAAGACTTTCATGAAATAAAACATTTAAAATTTCTCTTGATGAAGTTACAAAATACACTACGTTAAGAGGAACACATAGATATCGTTAATTTTCTTGGGAGTTTAATTTTCGTTGTTTTCATGACATGAAAGGACAAAAATATAATAATAAAGCACTACTACCACCACCACATCAAATACTCACCCATTAAAAGTTTTTCCTCGAACCACAAAAATTAAACCCCAAGAAAATTAAAATGTTTTAAAAAAATATTCAAGTGTTACTGAAAAGGTAACAAGTGAACGTATTTTTCAGTGTGGGAGTTAATTTATATATAAACAATCGTAACTTTATTCTACATCAACACTTACTTGTTCGTCGTTCTCCTGTTTCAAATTCTTCACCCTTATATTCCTTTATCTTCCTGTAGTATGTCTCCATTATATTACTCAGTGTTTTAGCAAACCTCACTTTACAACGATGATGCTGTATGTGATAAAGAATTCTATAAAACATTGATTGAGGCATTTGGAGACTGTGAGCAAGAAGAGATAACAACTAGAGCAGAGCTCGTTGCAAAGCAACGAGTAGGTCTTCCGTTGGAGCTGCGAACAGGAAGAAGTGACCTTGAGTCAAGGTCATGCCACATTCTAAGGTTATAAGCAATCTTGTAAGGGGTATCAACTTGCAATGTCTCACCAGTAGAAAGACAGTTAAGGAATGTTGTTTCTCCGTTGATGACCTTGAACTCGTTCAAATGACCTTGCATCAAACCATGACACACTCTGGTTATAAGCAAACCCCATCTATGTGTTACCGACTCGACAAGTTAACACATGTTCTTTCAGACCATCATCCAGTCAAAACATTCTTTCCTTAGTGACCCTAAATTTAATCAACATGGCCGTAGGAACCGAGGGAGGGGGGCGTGCCCCCCAATAATTTTGCCGATATATAGATTACTATAGTAGACATAGATACTATAGCTTGTGCCACCTCAATGAAAACGTCTGATAACCTTCTTTTTTTTGCTTGTCAAGGAATTTTTGGTAGTTGGTGACCTTTTTTTTTTGCTTGTCAGGAAATTTATGGTAGTAGTGCCCCCTCAACTGTCGACTGAAAATGTATGGCTGTCCCCCCCCCCCAAAAAAAAAAAAAACCCCTGAATTTGCTTCCTATGGGCCTGATCAAGGCAATGATACACTCTGTATGATATCAGCGATACCCTTTTGTGTGTTTCGGAATTGACAAGTTCACAGTTTGCATTTATTGCATGATAGTGAGGGAGACATGAAGATTTCTTCGCCCATAAAAAATCATATTCCCCGAGGGCAACATGAAGATTTCTTCGCCCATGAAAAATCATACTCCCCGAAGGCAACGCCCGAGGGAAAAAGATTTTTCATTTGCGAAGAAATCTTTATGTCTCCCTCACTATTATGCAATAAATTGTTTATAATACCGAATTAACCAAAATGCAGGAATTACAAAGGAGATCCAATGAATAAAGCAAACATGCATTTGATGAGAACGATATGAAAGAGATGTAAGTTACAGGTACACCAATAGCCTCGTTTCATTAAAAAAAAAAATCCTACGTGACAAGTTTGTGTGATCACACCAGTAACATTCAAACACCATTACATTTTTACACATTTAAATCGACACAATCAATCAACGATAATATGTTGACGGTGCGACCGTTGGGCGAGTGCATTGTTCACTTAATTTTAAGATCCGCCTCTTCAAACAGCATGAGACATTTGGAACGTCTAGACTGTGACGTCTCATGACGTATGTTAGCTGTATTTCCATAAACGAATTTTGAAAAGTGCAAACATTTTAACAAAGAACGTTTAATCTTCTATCTGTATGCAATTCCATTAATTAAGGTGATTTTTTGGGGTGAATTTTTAGTTGTTGTTACCGCGCGAACGAAGTTAGCAGCGTCGCTATAAACAATCTAACTCCTCACTCGTTTAATTGTGACGTCACAATCGTGAAACACGTTTTGTTGCAGGGCAAACATGATGGACACGTGACTTTCTCGGCCAATCAAATTCTATTTTACTAGTGATTTTTCACTTGTAAGCTAGTTTTCACAGAGGTACTAGTATAATAAATGTTTTTTTTTTAGACCATACATCGAAATAAATTATCATAATTTCTATAGTCGTAATTTATTAGGTTCAACTCACTGCTTTAAAGGATCATTGTAAATGTTTTATGCCCGATTTGGATACTGATCTGAACAACGTGTGATTTTTGAAACACTGATGCCCCCATATGGCATCTTATGGCAAAAGTTAAAAGTTTCTCAAATGCAAGTCAAACTCCATGGTCAAGATCAAAAGATAAAAAAAAATGTTATTACCCAAATAAAGGTCTTGAACAAAGAATATACTGTGAAATATATACTAGTATGTAAGCCACAGCAGCAACAGTTTAAAAGTTATGGCCAAGGTTAATTTCTTTAAAAGGTCAAACTCCAAGGTCAAGGGATCATAATTGTTTGTACTTGAGGGAAGGTCTTAATTGTTACAAGGAATACACAGGTGGTATTAAAAAAGCCTTAGCACAAACTGTTCAAAAGTTAAAACCAAGGTTAAAGTTTTTCAAAAGTAGGACATACTCAAAGGTCAAGGTAAAATGGTCAAAATTATAGGTATACAATGACAGGCCTTGTCACAAGAGAATTACCTAAGTAATATAAAAGCCCTAGTACTAGTCATTCAAAAGTTATTGTCAAGGCTAAAGTTGTTTAAAAAGTTGGTCAAACTCCAAGGTCAAGGTCAAATGGTCAAACATATTTATACCCGTGTAGGAGACTTATCACAAGGGATACAGATGTGAAGTATAAAAGCCATAGCACCAACTGTTCAAAAGTTTTGGCCAGGGTTATAGTTTGGTAAAATTTTGCGAAAGAGGATCAAACTCCAAGTTCAAGGTCAAGAGGTCAAATATATTGGTACCTGATGGAAGCCCTTGTTACTAGGAATACACATAAGAAATATGAAAGCAGTAGTTCCAACCAATCAAATTTTATGGGCATAGTTAAAGTTTTGCGGACAAAGAGGCTAACACAGTCTAACAGACAAATAGACAGGTGGACAGGACAAAAACTGTATGCCCCCCGGATCTTCGATTACAGTAGCATAATAAAATGTCGGCGTCTTTGGGTTTTCGCATTGGCCTTAAATCTGAAAATCCAAAGGATTACAAGGTGCATTACGATACGCTTTCACATCATGTTCTATAACCCAGAGCATATTGTATGCAAAGATAAATATTTAATTCAGTATTTACTTAGCTATGCATAATTATCTATGTTGTTTTAAAAAGGAAATATAAAAAAAAATATTTGTTTTATATTTTTCGATGTAGAGATATACAGAAAATGTTTTCCAATTTTAAGTCCTATCGCAATACACATTTAAAAAAAAAGTGTGTGTTGGAGGGGGGGGGGTCATTACATTTTTGCTGGGATTCGCCTATGTATGACCGTAGAGAAACAAAGAGTGGGGAGGGTGGAAGCAGCAACTAAATCAAAATTTACATATTAAAACTACAACAAAAGACTATTTTCAGAAGGTCTGCCCTCCCCCCCCCCCCCCCCCCCGTACAATCCGTACAACGGACCTGTGAGAAAAATACTGATCCTACATTAAGAGTCCCAGGGCACCAGGAAAGAGTGGCAAAAAGAGAATATCGGTTTATTTCCGTCTATAAGTCGAATCAAAATATCTTTTCCTCAAGAGTCTTCTTTCTTTGAGTTCTTCCCAGTGATCGTGTGATTTATTTCATTTAATTTACGTTCTGTACTGGACTTGGAAAATGAGGACATCTTTAGGTTCTTGAGCTGGCCTTGAAGCCCGCAGAACAGATTTTCTGCTTTATGATAAATTCAAGTGATATGTAATTCGGTATTAATTTTGTGTTGATTTTATTAATGTTAATTTCATCAAGAAATATGAAAAATTAATGTTTTAACTATACATAGTGAGGCATTTTTTGTGTGGAACGATTATTTTGGGGTTTTCACGATTTTTTCATATGGTACACATGATGAGTAAGTGCAATAAATATAATTTGTGGAAAAAATGTCCAACAAGCCCCGGGGTTGAATATCGGGGGGGGGGGGGGGGTCTGTCCACAAGTACCTGTTGTCAAGCCCGTAGAAAACAATTTCAGTTTTTGGGGAAGGGGGGGGGCAAATAGAAATTTCCACAGGTACTTGTACTCGATTTTTTCCTATGGTACACATGATGAATAAGTGTAATAAATATAATTTGTGGAAAAAAATGTCCAACAAACATTGGGGTTGAATTTGGGGGGGGGGGGGGGGGGTCCTGTCTTCAAGTACCTGTGGAAATTTCTTAATACATAAACAGAATTTAAAAGCATGTATTAGACATCTTTTGAAGGGGAGAGGGCACGGCCGTAATAACGGGGCCAAAAATGACTTTTTTTCCTACAAAAACCTGGTTCTCAGAACTCCTCTTACATTTTACGCAATAGCCTAACAGTGATTTTTCTACAATTTTTAAAAGGGGCCTGTGCCTTTTCAATTGGGAAAAATTGTCGACATTTGTGTCAAATTGGGAAAAAACAATAAGATTGTAATTAACCTTCATATTGACAAGTAAAATAAAATAATAAGTAAATGTAATATCATTTATTGAATTTATTTGCTACAAAATTTTTCAAGTTCAACAAAATGGACAGTTCTACATTTTAATTTTCTTTCATTTTTGTATTTTGATTGTCCTATAGATATTCTTTTTTTTACCATTATGGTAGAATTATAAATTGAGGAAAAAAAATCATTCCCAATTTCTCGTTATTGCTCGCATTGGAGATGGAATAATCTTGACACTATTTACAAGCATGTATTGCTGTATCGCATATTTCTCTGCAATGCCAGTCTCTGCAGGATGAAGAAACAGTTTAATTTTCGTGAAATCAAGGACACTTGTTGTAGGACTACTAGTACTTGCAAATTACAAATAAAGCTATGCTTAACAGATTCACATGCATATTTAAATTTCTTACGATGTATTGACACAAAAGTTTGACTTCCACATGATCGATTTTCCAAGTCTTGCAAACACACAATTAAACTGTTGTTTTTCACCGTTATTTTAAGCGTCCGAATGACCAAAACAATAGCGTTCCATTTTAGATAAGTCGTACATAAAAAATTCAATTAAACCAAAACAATACGTTTTGATTTTGGGAAAAAAGCAGTTGAAAATTGGGAAAAAATCGGTAATTTTTAAGAGGGGAAAGGGCCGATATTCGGACCTAAATTGAGTGTAGAAAAATCACTGCCTAATCACCTTTTAAAAGATGAATGGTGGTGTCCTGCAGATGTGCAATAAGTTTTCGGAATTTCGTAAAGTTATATAGAGACTAGGAAGGAATGAACTGTCATTAAATTTTGGTTAAGAACTATTACCTAAACTCTTCACTTTCACATTTTCAATTACAGATTCTTGTTTTTAAAAAGCTATACATGTACATTTATATGTATCTATTAGATGCATAAATTATGTTATTAATCATTTTATCTAAAGGAAAAGTAAAAATCTCAATCAAACTTGTTCCGCATATTATGCTCTCTGATTCATTACTCAACAGATTCTTCATATACATGTAAGAAGGGAAGACTGCAGACTGCAGGTGTGATAAATTCACAGCATGCAGCTCCATCCTTAATTCCAACTTTGTTCCAAAATATTATTATTCAACGCGAAAAATTAGAATTAGCCGATAGAATATTTTGAATCACTTCGGAAATGCTGCCGTAACACCAGACTGAGTTCACAATATCGAGTGATTTTGATTGACAGGTGTAGCGCCGTTGTGCATGGATTTCGTGTAACTATACGTCATGTACTGCAGATTGTGGTTGAAAATAATAAACAAACAGATCTAAAGAAAAGATAGTGTATACTGTACATATATTTGTTAAGAACCAGTTTATTCATGAAACGAATTTAGTCGTATTATGTGGGCCCATGTTAGATTTGACAGGTTGATTTACTAGTAGAAATTCAATGGACCACAGTCGAATCACCCCGCACATCGCGACTCTCGGTAATTTACCTTACCGCTGTACCTCGCACGACACATGCACAGGTGTGACAACCAAACAGTCATTATTAGTAAGGTCTATACTTATTGCATACAACAAATAAAGAGGTAAACATAATGCGTTAACTAAAAGAATTAATTATTTTAATTCATTAACTTCCTATCCTTTTCGAAGAAAATGCCCGTGTAGAAACGTATTTCTCATTGATGTCGTGGCGTTGTTGGTGGATGAAACATGGCATATAAGGTATCGATAGAACGGCAATTTTATAAGCTTTTGTGAGTATTATTTGTTTTTTATAACACCTCAAAAATATACTAGTTATGGCCGCATTTGTAGCCCCCTACAGTTTCGAACCACGTGTGTACATGCCCCTAGCCAAATAAATTGCACATGCTACATGTATACTTGTTATATGTCAGATTATTATTTTTTTTTATAACATTGTTTTTCTTAAATGCAAGGGGTATGAAAGTAATGATTTGACAAAGCAAGAGCTATAATAAGACTATCCCGGGTCCCGGTATACACTTGATCAGTGTTGATCAATGTTCATATGTACGAGTACACGTATGCAAATAATTCGATAGCTTTTGAAGATTTCAACATACGTTTTTGTAACACGCATATTTGTAATAACCACTTTATATACAAAACAAAATTTCATTCTCTTATATGGTAATATGGACGTCGTAATAGATCTGACTGAATGCTTGACATGCCTGTTTCAAAAACGTTTCCTAAGTTATCTTAAGATATGCCTAGGTTATAACTTTAGAAGTTCCTAAGATTTATCACAGCTGTATCGCGAAACAATCTTATCTAAAAAAAAATTAAAAGTCATTTCTTAAGTTGTGCCTTTAAGGACTAAAAAAATAACATTCCCGCTCTATATACAACTCTCAGTATGGTATATATTTTTAGATTCAAAAAGGAAGGGTGCCAGGATTGGGGATTGCCCCCACTTTTAAAGGATTTGGACACAAGTATGCTTAACTTTGCGAAGTGTGTTGCTGGATCTAAGCATTCACAGACACACCCTTTCAAGCCATCTTCCCTTCCGAGCACACGATATTTGTATTTTAATTTTTAAACATTGTTCTAGGTGTTATACAATTACTTTATTTTGTTCTTATAAGGTATCTACATGTAAATAAAATTTTAAACTGAATGCTTCGTAGCGAACACATGCGAGTTTATATTTTTCAAACAATCTTTGCCAATTACTACACTGCATGTACACGTTAGTTGTTTGTGCGGTGTAGAGCAACTATCAGAGTACACAATGTATTTCAAAATCGAGGTGCCCGCGGCGCTCTGTGGCACCGTGTATGTAAACGAGGACTGGACTACAACACTTAAGACACAAAGCGGCAGAGATGGATGAAACTGTTTGCTATATTACAAAGACTTGAATTATAGTACATTTGAAGGAATTTTTATTTATGTTAATGTTTATTTAATTCTAAAAATAATAAATGGATATTCACAAGAGTGATGGTAAAAATAATATGTGCGTAGCATGCATAGTAATTACAATTATTTACCGAAGCCCCCATTCAATTACAATTGCAGATGAATTAAAATACAACAACACGGGATAGAGCAATACTTTTTTTAAATGTATTGTTGCGTGAACAGACAAAAACAGCGATTAAAATTCAAAATGATTTTTTGCACCAGTGTTTGGAATTAAGATTATAAAAGATCGGTAAAGTAATCTTACTGATTCGATATAATTAAAAACATAACTTTCCATTAATTAATAGCTCTTTGTACAAAATTGACATTATACGCGATCACAAATACTAGCTTTGTTTATGGCCACAGGTGGCTAGTACACTGGTGACCTCGATCAACAGCGTGGGATTCGCGCGTTGGGTTACATAACTAAACATCGAGCTGAACATGGAGACCGTAATATGCATACAGCTAATGATCGTGAATTATTCAATGCATACAGTTTAAAATCACTTACAAAGTTTGTTGTAATAATAAACGTAGAAAGATAGATTTAATATTCTCCGCTTTTGAACACTATTAATCTAATTTAAAAAAGAAGAAAAGAAAGACTAGTTGTAATTAATAATTTAATAGTGAACCATAAACCACGTTTTAAACCTTATTAAAAAGAAAATTAACATTAAATACCGCAGGGTATATTATTGATAGCAAGTCTGTTTAAGTTATACACATGAAGAGGTCTGATTTCCTTGCCGAATGAAAAACGTTACCTGTTTACCTGGCCTGCTTTCTAATACGTATTACGCAATACTCATGGTATACTCGAACAAAACAACTTTTTCATTAGATCAAAAAGGTGTAAAAGAACAATTTTGTTCCCAAGATCCAGATCGAAATATTTACCGTTTTTGAGTTATAAAGCAAAAACTTTTAAGGGCCCAAGATCCCTAATCATAGGGGCCAGCCCCTTTTAAATAGTATAATATGAAAGCCCTTGCAATTATGCACAACTTTTGTTCTACATGTCTTAACAAAATATTTCTAGTTTTCAAGATATAAAGGAAAATATGTCAAATATTTTGCTGTTTTCCGCGTTCTAACTTTTGACCCCTCTCTAGCGCCATTTTTAATGCAAAAATCAAAAAACAAAAACCGATGTGCACAACTTGAATGCTTCCTCTTTTCAATTTCAAAGGGTTTTGTGCTCCTATTATAACCATTTCTGAGCCTTTGTCTGGAAATCGGAGGCATGCAAAATTCAATCAAAGGGGAATAACTCGTGAATAGAAGGTAATTTCCGAATTGTATTACGGTATTCTGACAGTGTTTTGTAAAGTCTAAAAGCTCTGAAAATTTGAACAAAATCTGTTTAAAAATGAGGAAGATATGAAGCGTCAAAGTTGGCGTCTAGGAAAAAAAAAAAAGAATAATAAGAATAATCTTAATCATCACAATCAGTAAAAGGTCTTCCGTTGGAAACGGAAGACCTTAATAAAAATAAAATTAATCGGACTGATGTCTTAACAGTGGATACGTTCCAACGGGCTAAAGAATCTGTACAGTATACAGTAAAACTTCTCTAATACGGATGTTGTGAATTTCGAAATCTTGCCTATTACGATATAAACTTTTAGTCCCTTTCAGTAAATTTAATTTTATTAAAAATATTGTCTTATGCGGAGTGATGTATAATCGGACAAGTGATTTCCAGAATAAAAGAGTTCTTACAGATAATAGTAGTTTTTACATTACCCCTTTGTAGCATCTTCTGTTATAATACCGTTCGTAGTCTTCGTCGTTGTCGTTGTCACAAATCTTCAAATAGCAAAAACAATCAGTCTTTAATGTATCGAGTAAATTATCTGGTAAAATACATTGTAAATATCGTTTTGTCGTGTTATGAGGTAATGCCCCCATATCATAGCACGTGATAAGTCGCAAAAGCTAGTATTATGCAAGTATTGGCACGTGCTACAAGGTCAGTTGTCATCCTTATACTGTATAGGGGATTAATTTCACGGGTTGTAATTTTCACGTTTTTCTCTCTTCTCGGACACGATCGCGGTTTGTTGAATTCGCGGAATCGGTATATGATAAACGTTACCTCTCTTGTCTTTATCCGTGTAGTATAGCTAGAATGACATTTATCAGCGTTATGTATTCACTTCACGAATAGGGTAGGTTTGTATAAAATGATTAGATATAGTAGTTATTTGATAATTAATCAAAACAAGTGCCGTTATTAAATTTTTTGACCATAAACGTCCAATGACTTCCCTATAAGTGCATGTGTACACATCTTTCCGAAGGTACAACACATCGTAGCGAAAAAAAGACACTGGACGCTAATTTTGATTGATGAAACATGTATCTATTTAAACAGATTTTGAACAATAAATACAGATAATTAGCTGTTTATTTGAATTAAAGTTAAGCGTGATAATTAAGATAATTGAATGACAAGTACTGCTCGTAATTACTGAATGATTATATTTTGTACATATATATATATATATATATATATATATATATATATATATATATATATATATATATATATATATATATATATATATATATATATATATATATACCGTAGTCTATTCTCAAATTTCCAAATAAAACATCGAGGTTTAATATTTAAAACTTATTTACTTTTTCTTGAATTCACGGATTTATTAACACCATGAATATAGCGAATATTAACACCGCGAGTTATTTTCCCCCTATACAGTATACAAATTCATAATAAAAAAAATTAAATAAAGAAAGAAAGTAAGAATTAAAAAAAAACAAAGAAAAGAAAACTAAACATTTTAAAAACATATTTACCTCAAAGCTACATGTACTAAAACCCTGTCTCTGGATCAAATTTACAAATGTATTTTTCACAAGTGCCTGAAAATTGCTTTGATATTTCTTTTTAGTTTACTGTAATGAACATACATCTTCATGGTTTCTCCTGTGACCATTTTCCTCTTCCTCCTCCTCTTCATAATCTTCTTCAAAATCCTCGTCATCGTCATCTTTTTGTACCTTAAAATGATGAAAATTGATGCTTAATGATTCGATTTAGATTCTCTATAATTATTTTAAGGGAAATACAGTGTATGGTAAACACTTCCATAAAATTTCCCCCCAAAACTATATGTATAGCTGTCTATTCTATTTCTCTCTTTTCATCTAACATTTCTCTCTTATTATGTTGACATGTGTAATTTCGTCTCATATTCAGATTCAACTATTCACAGATATCATGTGTATGACCTTCTAAGGAATGCACTTACATTTATCATAACACCAAGGACTACCAATCCTTCTGGCCTAAACTTGGCGTATGTTACATTTTGATACTCTGCATCATAAAACACCATGTGGGCCTGAAAGGAGCAATATTCTTTTCAAAATTATTTTATAGAAAATGAATGTCACCTATGCAGTATAATTATACAATGGTACACAGAGAGTTGGAAAATTAGAAACCTAAAACTTATATCACAATTATTTCTATACCTTACTTATAAAATTTATAATAAAAAAACTCTCAAATGAAGAATAAGCAATTTGACGTTTTAATCTTTTGTATTATTGACAACAATTATACTTTAATTAGATCTCGCAATACCTTTCAGGAAAGAAAAAAGATTCTGAACCTTTTTTTTTTAAAAGTATCTTTTCATTTAATAACATACCTCCATCGGATAAAACTTGTCGTTTATAGAGTGTTCTGAACCTTTCTTCTTCTTATGGCCAACATGAATGTGCAGTTGTGCAAAATTGTATGTCCTATGTCTTCTATGAGGAACGTGGGTAAGAGTTATTTTGTCTTGATAGTCTTCTTTCACATCAAAGTGCGGGGAATGTCCTTTTCAAAACAAAAAAAATATCCTAGTACTTGTGTATTAATTATACATGTTAATTGTAACTGAAAATAATTACTTGCATTTGACATCATATGCTTACCATTAAACAATTAGTAAAAATAATCATATTTTGTTCGTTGTTTTAGATATGTTTTCAAGAATCAATAAAATATAAACAAATAGCATAAAGTTCTATTAAACTAAGAATCTAGAATGTTTATCAGGACAATTACATTGATATCTTTCGGTGTTGTTAAAAAGTAAGAACAAAATGCATGCACTGAAGCTCTATGATATTTTAGACTTTTCAAATGCTTATTGTTAATCAAATGTGAGAAATTCAGTATTTAACTCTGCAGAAAGTTCGATGTAAAGTTAACATAGATTAACTGACTTTAACATGATCCCGCCGAATTAAGCCCAAAGTATCGATGGAATTTAGATGTTTCCTCACCATTGTTGTAGATTTCGGCTTTCACTCTCCTATCACAACCTTTCAGCTTTACGTCTCCTCGGTAATGTTTTAAAGATTTTGTCTTTCTTGTTTCTATGTTGATTGGAGATTGTCTTTCTGTGGAGCCACAAGTTGTCCAACAATCATGCACGTTGCACCATTCATAAGGTCCTGAATTTATAGCAATTCATATATGAAATTCAAAAGTTCAAATGAAGGTAAAAATATCCAAAATAGAAGGAGTTTTTTTTTTTTGCCGAGCAAGGCAACTTTAATTACGTACCAGAGGATCCGAACCCAAGCTTTATAAAAGACAATTTAAAAGACATTATAGTCGCCCGCGTGACGCAGTGGTTAGAGCGTCTGCTCTAGAGTCGCGGAGTAAGGAGTTGATCCTTACGTCGCGGGTTCGAATCCCACTGTGGGACGTGGAGACCGGTTCTTCGGATGAGACCGTATAAATCGATGTCCCGTGTCGTAGAAAGTGCTGGCACGAAAAAGATCCCTCATTGCTCAATGGCCGTAAGTGCCGAGTATAGGACAAAATTTGCAGCTCTCCACCGGCAAGTGGTGGCGTCTCCATATGAGTGAAAAATTCTCGAGAGGGACGTTAACAACAAACAAACAAGCAAAAATAAAAGACATTATAAACCAGACACCTTTTAAGCTGCCGTGAGAGATAGGGCTATTAAAAGATTTTATGTCAAAGATATTTATTTTGTGAACTTCAATTTGATTTTGACTTATATCTCAGAGATATTCTTTAAACACTTAGATAGGGCTTTGAAATTAATTTTGGTGGAACATTTAAATATAATAAATATAATACAATTTTGATGCATAAAATGTTGTGTTTTGCTGTTGTTTTCTTTAAAAAAAAAAAGGATATTTGATATTCAGCATGTAACTTCCCTTAAACAAAAGCATTAGAGTTAAATAATCAGATGGTTTTTTTTTTTTACTTTCATTTAACTTTCTTTGAAATATTTATATATATATTCAAAATTGAAAAAAAAGTTCATTTTCAGGAACCCACGCTAGCTTCTTAGGTCTCCATGTCCCATGGTGCATTTAGTCAGGTACGGGTTTTGAATTTTGAATGTACATATTCTATTTTTAAAACATTCTATTAAAAAGAAGATCCTTTAAAAATCAATAATACTTTGATATTTTATCATACAGAGAATCATATTGAAGGAATTAATATTACAATTTCTTTTTTTCAAACAATGTCCCAAGCATCAGAGAGCAAAGATAAATCATATCATAATTTTAATTAGATGGAAATGTATTCAGATATCAGAGCTTTTTAAAAAGAAATGTCAATATCTTAGAAGACCCACAAATCAAGTTATATTTCAATCGAAATTGGTCTTTTAGTGACTATAAAATGCAACATTTTTAACTCTTTTCAACATTCAAGATCAATTTAATATTTCAAATTATATTGAAAATAATTTATTTTATATATCAAATATTGATAATAAAAAATAATTTAAACCTTAGAGAAAACGGATTACATTCTACAAAGAGCATCAATTCAATTGAAAAGACAATAAAGTAGTCCTGGAAAATAGATTTTTATTGGTTTTCAAACAAATTATTTTTTTACCAGCTTACTCAGAGAAAATAATTCAGAGCTTTAAATTTTCTAGTTAAATTATTTTCAATGGCTGTTTTTTATGTTAAAAAAAAGAGCTATCAATCTTACCCTCGCAGAAATCATCTCTTTCGTAACTAAAATGAGCCTCCTCTATCTTCTCATAATGACATTTCTTTTGTGAAGGGGGCTTTACACCTAAATAGCCTACCCCGACTACTGTATCTACATACAGCAAACAGAGGCAAACTAACAGGCCTAACACTGTCATTTTGACTAAGTGAGGCAACAACAGAATCTTACTGCTTTTAAGGAAAAATTTATTGTTTCATAAGCCACGTGAATTTTTGTACAAATGTGGATATTAATTTGACAGTCTATCATCGTATGAACACCTCCTTAAGCTGATCTCAGTTGATGAATATTAATTTAGAACCTTGAATTAAAATAATGCGTTTACGTAACATTTAAATCAATTTTTATTGTCAGGTCATACGCGTGAAAAAGTAACAGGTAATTTATGTTCCGGTGTATTGCTCATGACACTCTCAAGTAAACCGTTTGTTTTTATTTATAGATGAATATATATTTATGATTAAGAATTCTCTCAGTGTTGGAAACAAAAAAGAGAAGTATCCTGCATTTAGGCCTTGGGTAGCTCTTTCTTGTGAAATGTTTTAATTACAGCAAAATGATTAAAAAAAACTTACATGTAGGTACTGTTGAAAAGCGGAGAATCGGACAGTAAATTAAATATCTATAAATGTTATAACATTTATATTAGTTCGTGAAATGAAATATTTTACGAATAAAGCATATACATATTAAAAGAAATAAAATCATTACTAAAATATCTAATGTAGAAGACGTAATTTCCCTTTTTTTCCTCCAGAAAATGTTTTGCAATTTAATTTGCATTTGTTTAACAGGATTTTGCTTTTACATTCTGACTTAAAAGGTAAAATTGTGTTGTAATGTTTACAAGTTAATGAATCTGAAAATGATCAATTTAATTGCAGCACAAAGTTTGAGGCCAGATTAATTTTAAACGTGTACTGTTTTAACTGTTTAAGTCGCCGTTAGCCTTTACTTTATTAGTCCCCTACCGGTGAAACCCGAGGGGACTATAGGTTTCCTCTGAGTCTGTCCGTCCGTCTGTCTTTCTGTCTGTCTGTCCCTCTGTCCCTCTGTCTGTCTGTCTGTCAGTCTGTCCCACTTGATTTTCGGCACTTTTTTTCTAAACGCTTGCAGATATAAATCTGATTTTTGGTATGTGAGTGTATCTTGATGAGTTATAGATCAAGTTTGCATTTCGTTCCGCTTCATTGATTTTTGACGGAATTATGGCATTTTCAATTTTTTAGCGGGAACCAGATTACACTTGCCGGTAGGGGACTAATATTGCTAATGCAATACTCTCAGAATGCTTGTTATGAATATTTAACCTTCTTTGGGGTTAAAGTAATTAAATTAAATTTGATATGAATATTTGAATTAAGCTACTGAGGGAGATTCATGCAAAATGGATAAAAATGTGTTTTTAGTCCCCTACCGGTGAAACCGGAGGGGACTATAGGTTTTCTCTGAGTCTGTCCGTCCGTCCGTCTGTCTGTCCCTCTGTCTGTCTGTCAGTCTGTCCCACTTGGTTTTCCGCACTTTTTTTCTCAACGCTTGCAGATATTGAGCTGATTTTTGATATGTGAATGTATCTTAATGAGTTACAGAACAAGTTTGCATTTCGTTCCGCTTCAATGATTTTTGCAATTTTTCAGGGTTTTTCGCAATTTTCTTCTAAACGCTTGCAGATATTGAGCTCATTTTTGGTATGTGACTTAACCTTGATGAGTTATAGATCAAGTTTGCAATTCGTTCCACTTCTTTGATTTTTGAAGGAATTATGGCATTTTCAATTTTGAATGGGAACCAGATTACACTTGCCGGTAGGGGACTAGTATTGCTGATGCAATACTCTCAGAATGCTTGTTGAAATTTAAAAAAAATATCAAGTCGCTAACATATTGACACGTCTGAATTTTGTGTCTATTTAGTTGTGTTCTGTAATTGGGAATATTTTCTTTATTTTGGGGATAATTTGCTTTGCATACGGTTGAACTCCTTGGTATGAGGTCTACTGACGTAGATTCCAGATCTATCTGTCTTGGCTGTAATTCTAAGGAAAATTTTAAAGAAGATTATAAAAATTTACAACTTTATTCAACAAGGCGTCGCATGCTAGTGACCAGGGTAGGCCGAATTTCCAACGACAGCCGATTGTCTTTGGGTTACAGGTAATTAACCGATCAGATTCGAGAACTAATTTTAAGGAAGGAATGAAAGTGAGAAAATTCACCATTTTTGGATTTGGACACGGTAAAAGAAATCATGTGACAAGAAAAAGTGACCCTTGCGGCTGTCCAAGCTCAAAACACCTTTGCATAGCCTAAGGCCTTGACAGATTTATACCCAAAAAGTAAAAATATAAAAGAGATCAACCTTTGTTACGTAATTGATTAAACATTATTTCTGAACAATAGCAATCTCAAAGACAGTCATGAATAAATAATTTACACATGTATAATACAATGGACAGTCCATTACATGTACCTACAGAGGATTACATGATTAAGTCTTGACATGATTCAATAAAGAACTGCTACTTCCTCAATAAACAACAGAAAATACATTCTTTAACAAGTAAGCTTTGATATTTGAATGAATAATTTTGACATTGGAATGGATAAAAGAGACCTCTAAAGCATTACCGAAATGAAATTCAAAATTACAGTAAATACTTAAAAAGGTAACTTTTAAATAAGTCATGAACTGCAATAATAATCAAAAATTTGAATTGTTATTTATCCTTACCACGAATTTTATTTAAAAAAGAAAAATAAACTTTGTTGTTATGAATACTTGCCTCCCTACCAAGTAATCATAAAAACAAACTTAATTTTTAAATAATTTTTTTGGAAAGACAATATCACTTCTGTCTAGTGAAAAAAGGAATATCCTTGCTAGTTTGTTTCCTAAAATAAAAATATATTGAGACTGTCAACTATTTTGATTAAAGCAAAGAATTCGAGATGCTCTTAAATTCATTGCTAAGTAAAAAGGAATCCCCTTAAATTCCATTGAGATGAAGAAAAGAGTCTCCATTATTCTTTGCTAAGAGAATGTAAAGAATAAAAAGATATCAAGCTCTACTCTGAAGAATGATTGGAAATTCTTAGAACCTAATACAAAGATCAACAAATACTACAACTTGACCTCTTGACTTGAGGCAAGTACTTGAGAAATCTCACATTTCACAGTCTAAAATCAATCAAAAGAGCATCAACCCCACTCCATTTTTTTCATTTACGCTGCAAGAAAGGGGAATGGTTGTAAATGGCATGTTTGTGAAATGTTGTGAAAGACCTTATACAAATTCGACTAACAGAGGAATCAAGGCAATCTGCAAATACAGTTCTTGTCAAAGAGCATCAATTTTTGATCTCACTTTTGAACTAAAATGTTATCATATTTTGCAATAAAACATCGTATGCTTTGAAGTTCGTATCTTTATACTTAAAATGATGCCCATGTAAAATGATAAAATAGTACTTTTAACCTAAAAAATAAGGAGATAAAATATCTAAAACAAATCCTCATTATCACGCTTTTTTGTTGATTTGTCATTGTATCCGCATTCAACAAATTAGGAAACATAAACCTACATTACCTACAGTACCGAGGAACATTGAAGGATACTTGATTGTATAATGAAGTAGGATTTAAGTGAAAATTATTATGACTCGAAGTAAAAATAAAATGAAAACATCGGAACGAAATAGAAAACTTGCTGATGATAATGAATATGATAAATTCTAATCACATACTACATTTATTTAGGAAAATATACTTTTTGTAGTCTTACGTTGAGATAAAGAGTAGAATTTCAAAAAAACGAAGATATGAAAAGTATACAAATGTATATAGAGGTCATATGGGTATAGAGTTATATTTCATCAGGTACAAAAGGAAAGACATTGTTTATTCTGAGAACACTGAAGAGAATAAACCAAATTTTTGTCTCTTATTTATATTTTAAGTAAAATAAGAGAGATTTTAAGTACACTACAGATTTAATATACTTCATTGAAACTTCACTGAAACCTAATCTACGTATTTTGAATTCATTAACAGTTTTGCCAAATGCTAATACATCATTACAAACTTTGTCTATAATAAAAACATTTATTTGGTTTAAAATTTGACAATACAGAAATAAACTCAGGGAAATTGAATTTGGAGCCTCAAAAGTCCAAATAAAAAATACAGATTGAAGGTAGAGCAAACACAGAGCCCTGCAAACATCAGAGGAAGTTCAGGTGCCATAGTAGAATAAGCATCCCCTGTTGACCGCTCACACCAGGCTTACCTAACAAAAATACTTTAGTTAACTATGGTTTACTATAGTTAATTTTAGTTTACTATAGTATCAAAGTTTTACCATAGTTTTTACTATAATAGTGAATCAAAGTATTTTTACTATGAATTTTAAATTGTTATATTTATATTCTTTTCCTACATGCAGTTTTCTTATATTAAAAGGAATTATTTATTTACTTTTATATTCACACATTATTTTCAAAATTACATCATTGGTATATAATACAAGAAATATCAAGGCTCTAAATCTTTAAAGAAAATTGAATAAAGTTTCATAGTAAATCAAAATATCAACTATTAGCTACAGTTTACTATAATAATAAATCTTTGTGAGGGTTCAGCCCTCTGTTTCGATTGAGTAAACGGAGCAATCCATTGACTTGCAATTCAGTATAAAAAATATTGCTTTAAGATAACATTAACCAACATCGACTTGTCGAGGTAGTGCTTACATACAAAGTCATTGTAAGCATGGCAGTTGACTGATTCCAAATTGTTTCACTGCCTGGGCAGTATTTTGTAATGGGATTACCTTAGACACTTTGGGATAAGACATCGGACTTTTGTCTTCTATTTTTGTTACCCCAGTCAACTGGATAACTAATTTTTATTAATTGAAATATGGTAAGTAAACGTTGCTTAACAATATTTAACCAACAAGTCACATTTACCTCATATGTAATACAATCGAAGGCAACAATATCAGCAACCTGAGCTAACAATTCGTTTTCGCTTTTATTAATAACGGAGATTTATTTTTCAGTACACGCCAACTTGGGGCTTGATATTTACGACTCAGAATAGAAACATTCATGTGTCATATAAAGAAATGATTAACTGACATTTTT